CTCTTCTCTTGTTTGTTTAGTTGTCCATTTTTCATTGACTTCAACAGACACGACTTTGTTAGGAGTATTTTTTAAGGATAGAAAACAACTAGTAAAAGAAATTCCGGAAATAAGTCTAGCAACACTTTCGGAGAAAAATCTCCCTTCTATTATATACCTTGCCTGGAACAAAACAAACTCAAAAAATGTCTGTTTACTTTGCACCATTAAAACTATTACATTATGTAAATTGATTTATCACGAAATAAAGATCAATAATATACAGATGCAATCCATATCTACTCGATTTTCATGTTTGAAGAAACCTATTATTATTACTAATCAATGAAAAATAAAATGTTTTTCTTAATTTTTCATTTCCTGTTCTTTGTGCTATTGGATTATTTATCCGAAGAACAAAGAAAATTTTGATCGCAATTTAGAAAATAAAGTATGATTTCATCTGTATTTGATTCTGTTTGAAAAATCTATGCAAACAAGAAAAGAATTTATTCGAGTTTTATATCGATAAAACGAATAATTCTAATTATTCTTCATATAATGAAGAAAATTGAATGATTTTTAGTTATTTTAAATTTCTTTAGAGAAGGAGAGCATAGAGAAACTGTTAGAAAAAGAGATATATGAATTTTCAATGTCAACATAATGAAAATGAACCTTTTTTTACGATAAAAAAATCGACAACGTTAAAAGGACATGTCTCCGGTGAAATGTTAATAAATCATTGACGACAATGACAATCGGAACTGTGTCCATTTATTTGTTCTATAATGTCAGTTTTTTTATTAGTCTTTTCTTGTATTTTCAACTATGCACTTACTTGTACTGAGTTACCTTGTGTTTAATTTTGAGAAGTTTTTGCCTTGAGGATAGGTGTGAATGCGGATATGGGTCGAAACAATGAACAAATATTATAGCTATGACTACATTCACACCCACACCCACAACCGCACCCACCCTCTCTTTTCATATATGCACATTAATTTTTTTTAAATATTATTTATTTCTCTGAATAAAATCATCATATTGACTGACTTTTTCTTCATTGTATATCACATACAATGATAATTCTAAATGAAATGAACAATAAAATATAGACATCTACAATTATTGTCTTACCTTTTCATTGCCCATCTCGATGATGACACTATATATATACTTAGTTCATTTCATTCAATTAAGTTGAGTTTAGAAGTGTTTTCAATTCATATTAACATACTGATCGGTTCCACAGTATGTTAATATGTCTGAAAATCATTTATTTGTCTATCATTCGTTTATTTATTCTCTAGTATGAGTTATTCTTTTTATTGAAACAGAAAGAATAATTCATAGCACTGAATAAACACAGTTCTTTTTCTCTCTCTCTCTTCGTTATTTTAAACAGCCTGTTGGGTGGCCGTTTTTGTTCCTACTCAACACAGAGAAATTCTACCTTGTTCAGATACAATAACTATACATCGTGAAGGTCTTTTTGTACAATATATATCTATTGATATATATTGTTTATCTTACCGATGGGTGTTACCACCCATTTGTGCCTCAACAAGATAAAAGTTTCACTGTGCGCGCGCGCATTTAAAAAAATTCTTTTCTAGTTTAAAAAGTTTATTTTTTCTCTTCCATAAAATAAAAATCATAGCAATACAATTTATTATTTGTTTTTTACACGTTCGAGGTTATTTCTTCGTTTTTGTAGAGTTGGATGATCCAAAGGTAATGACTGCTCTCCAATTTGTATAGCATGCTCATAAAATGTACGGGCTTCTAAGTAATTACCCATGTTTTCATGTACCAAACCAATATTGTTATAGGGATAAGCCACATCAGGATGACTTGAAGGAAGTGATTGTTGTTGAATTTCGAGCGCTTTTTCAAAATAAGACAATGCTTTCGAATAATTACGCATGTTGTTATGCACTTCACCAATATTGTTGTAGGACGAAGCCAGATCAGGATGATTGGAAGGAAATGATAGTTGTCGAATTTCAAGGGCTTTTTCATGTGACAGAAGTGCTGCAGGATAATTACTCATGTTTCTATGCACATTACCAATATTGTTGTAGGAAGAAGCTAGATCAGGATGACTGGGTGGAAGTGACTCTTGTCGAATTTCGAGGGCTTTTTTATGATAAGAAAGTGCTTTAGTATAATCACCCATGCTGTCATGCACTAAACCAATGTTGTTGTAGGAATAAGCTAAATCAGGATGAGTGGGTGGAAGTGATTGTTGTTGAATTTCAAGGGCTTTTTCATGCGATAAAAGTGCTTTAGGATAATTACCCATGCTGTAATGCACTACACCAATGTTACCGTAGGACTTAGCCA